TATTGGTGGGACCACGGAAACGTTTTCGGATACACCCGCGGCCCCACAAGCATCGGCCGCTTCATGGCAGCCCCTACTTCGGGAGGACTTCTCCTCTCCGTTTTTACTTCTTAGGTACGGGGCTCAGTAACACAAGGCACGCATTCCGCTGCCGCATTAATACACTACGTTGAGTGCGGGTGCGTGCCACGAGTGCGGTCAGCGGAGGCCATTTGCTCTCTCTCTCTCTCTCTCTCTCTCTCTCTCTCTCTGTATCAAACGCCATTCAAATTTCAGTTTACACTTCACTAACCAGTACAAAGCTGTCTCCTAGAACCTTTCTTCACCATCGTTTACCGATATTTCAAGCTATGTGGCCAGCCCATTACAACTTCCGCTTACTGATCCGTTGGATTATATCGGTTATTCTTGCACAGAAAAATATAGGGCTATTCATATCATATTTGTTAGATTTTCGGAAACGGCTCTACTTATTTGGATGATTTTGTTTAATTTTAGACTAACGCGCTGGCTTTACCTGAGTGGGATCTATTAATGAGGTGTCATTAAGATTTGTTAAAATAATCATCAAAGATAATTTATTATACTCGTGTCAAATTTTCGACTTTATAGAGAAAAGTTTCACGGATAAAATATAGCGAGGATTCCTCACAGTCGGTTCAGCCATCCTGAAGATCAGCCCGAACTATACACAGAATAAGCCATTTAGTCATGAAAACATAAAATTTACTTAATGATTTTCATAATATTGATCAAATATTGCTTATTAATACCCCCTGGGCTCGATGAAATGAAGATGGAGATAGTTAATTTGATATTTTTTGAGACTGCTTCGTTGGTCTAGTGGTTGTAGTAGTGTGACTTCTGATCATGAGGTCCTGAGTTCGAATCCCGGGTCGGGCCAAAAAATCAATTATCGAGTTTTTCTGTCAAGAAATTCTCAGTAACTGCCCGGAGTCAGGAAGTTGGCGGTGTCTCACCCCTGTGCCTCGGAAAGCACGTTAAGCCGTTGGTCCTGCGCCTGATCTCTCTCCCGGGCGTGTCCGTTTACCGTTCCATCGGATTACGAGAGTGAGGGAATAGAGAGTGCACCTGTGCTTGCGCATACACTTGGGCACTATGATATATCCTGTCCTGTGCCGAGGGCTAGCCTCCGTTGACCGCCGCTGTGACCAAAATTTGGTCTGGGGGACATTATTATTATTATTATTATTTCCCGAGATTATTATTTTCAGAGTTTATATAGATAGATGTTGTCCCTGAAAATTTGATTTTCTAGCTCCGATTAAAGTTTGTTCGCACCGTTTTCTACCGCGTACAACCTCTCTGTGGAATAGTTTTCCACGGGTGATTTTTCTGGACAGATACGACCTTCAAGGAAAGAGCTTAATCCTTTCTAAAGAGGCAGCAACGCACCTGCAATTCCCCTGGTGTTGCGGTTGATCATGGGCGGTGGTAGTCACTTAACATCAGATGAGCTGCATGCTCGTTTGCCCCCTCTTCTATAAAAAAAACCTTGTACTGTTAAAATAAGTTAGCTTGTAGATACAGACTTGAATATAAAATCTGACCTGTTTAAAATGAACGAATGTTTTCACTAATGCGTCTTTCAATAGGAATAACAATCTTTTTGGATTGCTAATTTCCGTTTGACGTATATATTACTTACTATACTACTATACGCAAAGTTAAATTAAAATAGTAATTAATTAAAATTTAGTTAATTTAAAATTTAAATATATGCGACAGTTCAATTTATATTCAGGTTAAATAGAGTCGCATCAACTGTTATTAATTTATTTTATTTATTTTATTTTATTTTATTTTATTTGGAAGACCAACAGCTATCATAATTAGGACAGATAGTACTAATAACAACAGTAAGACAATTAAAGATCCTCACTACTAGATACAAAGGTGAATTTACAACAGTGATAAATACGATTTAACACTTGAAAGTATCCAATACAACATATTTATGTCAAATGAGAGCTAAACTTGTATTATACACATAAAAGACAATCAACTCATACTTAGGACATTCAATAACACTACAAGCTATTTTTAATAGAAAAATAAACACAAATACAAAAGTAAATCATAGTTGTGTAGCAACGCATCAATATCTCACTTAGAGCTACCAAAAATGCGTTGTTAAGTATGCGCCTAGCTGACGCAGCACTAGTGTTAAACAAATCGAAATAAAACTCATTGGCTACCTTATTGAAATTATTGCTCGCTCGCCATATAAATGTATTTTGCCTATAATTTGTAGATGAAAACGGGAGACTTAAAATTTTGTTGTATCTAAGAGGTTTGGCAGGACAGCTAACATGTAGTTGAGATAAAAGCTCAGGACAGTCAATAGCACTACAAGCTATTTTTAACAAAAAAGTGAGGTCAGCAATCTCACAACGCATAACAAGAGGAGGAAGGTGATGTTTTTTATAATAACTAATATAATTATCTGAGGTATAGCGATAGCCATTGGTTCTATAACAGAGGTAACGCATAAACTTACTTTGGATATTTTCAAGTCGGGTAATATATGTTGCATACCTGGGGTTCCAGATTTGAGATCCGTACTCCAAATTACTTCTTACAAGAAAACAATATAGGATCTTTAGAGTTTTAGCTTTAGTGAAGTCCCTAGAGCTATGCATCAAAAATCCAAGAGCTTTCGTAGATTTGGTTATAATGCTTAATAACTGAATGTCAAATATCAATATGAAATCATGAAGAACACCGAGATCTCTAATAATGGAATCCCTTTTAAAATTTTCACTTTCCAATTTATAGCTAAAGACAATCGGTTTATATTTGCGACTATAGGACATAAAGCTACATTTCAAAGGGTTCAAATCTAAGAAGTTTAGGTGGCAATAACACTCTAGATTTGACAGATCTTCTTGTAGAGCTTCAGCATCCTCGATTGATGTTATTTTCAGAATAATGTAAGTTTTTTATAAAAGAGTCCAATTAATGCGCCACAAAAAGAGAAAAGGGTCGCCACACCACCATACGAAAAAAAACAAGATAGATAAAAATAACAAATAATAACGGACCCAGCAGTGAGCCCTGTGGCACCCCACTTGGAACAGTTACCCATCCTGATATGTAGTTGCTGACGACAACAGCTTGTGATTGATTATTTATATAAGACGTATTAATTATGTAATTGTTCTGAATAATATTGTGTTTAATGTGTGCTGTCGCCCATAGAGAGCATGTCTATCCTTGATGGAATACCTCGTTTTCTGTAAAAAAGGGGACTCCGAATTAGTACACCTTAGGAAACCCAGCAGCATTTAGCTGCAATTTAAGCTGTATTCTGTTAGGTCGTGATCCATTCGTGGCAACTGACAAAATATTACTTATTAAAGTCTAAGTAATCAACCCAATATTTTATTTCGAGGCTTTATGTAAAAAAGGATATAAAAAAAACTTCAAAGTCACTAAAGAGTAGACCCGGTCGTCTATGAAATACTACTATCGCCTATAAGCTGTTGTTCCAAAATGCCACCTAGCTGCGTTGGATTTAGAAGAAAGAAATGCAAGCTTAGAAAAAGCTTATTGGTAATATTTGATTTGGTTGAAATCAATCTCGTCAGCATCATGTACAGGCGCATAGAAGCCAGCTTTTCGCTATCAATAACATGTATTTAGGAGAGTTCGTGCAGGAACTTCATACTGTTATTCCCTTCTCTTTTCTCCATCTAGGTTTAGGTCGAGTTAAGTCTTTTTTTCAATATTCCAATAATATTCCACCAAACTGTTTGCTTCGTCCTTCCTAATGGGTACAGCTTAGGAGTGAAATAATTTGGTTGACTTAATGCTGGTGTCTGTTTTTCCGTTCCATTATAATCGGAGTGTCTTCGAGACAAGAGTGAACAGGTTTTTGTTATGTCGTGCGATTTACCACTTACGGCTTTATCACTACTTACCACAAGGTAGGATGAAATGAAACACTGGATTATAGAAAGTAAAACTAAATATAAAGACCCTAAAAATTATGAGGACAAATAACAGATACCGCACTTAAATTTCTTTCCTAATAAAAGAGCTATGTAGGTGCCTATAGGCGTCATTATCCAGTATCCACTAACTATGTTGTGTGTTCGCTTATTTTTTACGCACAAGGAAAGGCGCAATATATGTAATGACGAAACCCGATAACCATTTTAAAACTTCTAATAACATCCTCACATATTTGAAAATTCTTCATGTATATGGAATAATATATAATCATATGTTTATTGGAACGCAAGTTTGAAACGTGTTATGATTAAAACGCTACCACAATATAGGTCAAATTCCTAGTGTATGTGTAGTTTTAAGAAAAAAATCTTTGTGACTCCTCTTTACATCCTATATTTTCTCACCTATCTATTTGATCTTCTTCTGTACCATAAAAACGTAATGGTAGTTGAAGGGAAATCATCTAAAAACTAACCATTTCCGGAAGAAATATACAAATCTCAATTTAATGTTATATTTACAATTAAATAATTGATGTGAGGTAATGGCGTTATAAAATCCATAATCTAATTTTATTTCATGGGTATTATGAGGTAATTTTGGGAAAATACAGAAAAGCTTCATGGTGTAACCATCTCGTATATATCAGATTTGAAATTCCCAGATCAACGACGGGAACCACTGTCAAAGGTGAGAAATGAAAAAAGTTTTGGTAATATGATCAGACATCTATTCTATTCTATCTACTACCTCTTATTGTGCTTTGGATATCGTATATAGGGAAATTGAAAAGGGAGGTGGGCATCTGCATCTTTCTGATAACAACTCGAAATTGTAAAAACTACGATTTACAACCCGCCTGTCAAGCGTAGCATGAATTGCAAAATCCCCTTTTTAAGGCAATCTATGTACATAAATCCTGCATACAGCACTAGACTTTTGTAATAGAATTTTTATTCCATTACAAAGGGAGACTAAAACATTTTAATTGTTGTCACTTCTTACTCAGTTTTATGTTGCAGTTGATTACGTAGACAAGTGGTTCCTTATGGCTACCCCGATCCCAATTTTGACAATCTGGCTCGCATACTTGGCTTTTGTACTGAAAATTGGACCAGAGTTCATGAAGAAAAGGCCACCGTTCAATTTGAATAACGTGCTGGTTTTGTACAACGCAATACAAATTATTATTTCCTGTTTCGTTTTCTGCTTTGTAAGTTATATACAAATTTGTTTTCATTATTTATTTTTTATTATTATTATACACTATTTTTTATTTTCAGTTTTTAATTTATAGGTACTTATTATCATAATATTTTGAATTATTATTGTCAACTCCATTATCGGGGGCAAATGTCTTATTTTCATGTCTATGCAGGAATATTTCCTATTAGCGCAAAATTAAAAATCCTTCAATGACTGATTTAATTCTCTTGTCTACGATTCCAAATCCGATTTTTTTCATTGAAAGGCTATCCTTTGATTTTGCATGACCTTCGCTTAAAAAATTATCCCAAAAGTGACATTATCAACTAAAGTAGTGTAATTATTGTTGTCATTGACAACAAATGAATCTGGGATGTGGTTTATCAACGATGGCCGTGTGAGTAAACTTAAGGTTGCTCGACGAAGAACTAGAGTATATTAACAATTGATCTTACAGGCTTGACTTTAGAGTTAACCCATCTAAATGTAAACTGACTTAAATATGAGTAGGTAGCCATCAGTTATGGAATAATCCAGTACCGCCCAATGTCAGTTGATGGGTAGAAGTGGCTAAAAAGATCAAAAAACCAAGGGCCACTCAAAAGCGAGTCGCCACGATGGCATCACCTTCTGATACTCCGAAAGAGAGGCGAAAGAACAAAAAAATTTGCGTGCCCCAACATCTGCAGCTGTAACAGTAACGATGTCAGAAAGCTCCCTCTCTCTCTCTCCCTCTGTAACTTATGCCAAAGTAGTGAAAGAGGCAAAATATAAAATACGCCTGGCAGAGCTTGGGAATAGACACAATCTGACAAAAACAGGCGATACCCGGAGGACTGCTGCTGGAGAGCAAGGGTCCGGATTGCGGCGTAAAGGCGGATAAGCTGGTGGCCAAGTTGTGTGAGGTTCTCACAGATCTGAACGTGCAAATTAATCGCCCAGTTAAAACAAGCGACGTCCGTCTGAGGGACCTCGACGACGCAGTCAGCGCTTTGGAAATTGCGGCGGTGTTGTCTAGGGAAGTGTACTGTGGTAGATGACATAAAAGTCAAGGAAATCCCCCGAAATTCCACTAGATATGGGGACATGCTGTGTATGGTGCACAATCGTGGCTGTCCTTAAGATTGCGGCTGTTGGGCGAGTGTGTGTAGGTTGGGGATCTGCTCGAGCTGAATTACTAGAACTCAGGCCTAGAAAGGAGGCACGTCGCTAGCAGATTCCACGTGAAACTAATAGAGGAGCACGTTGTTACGCATGCTGAGAGCCCGGACATAGGGCCAAATAGTGCACTGAATCAGCACCCAAGTGTTCTTTGTGCTCTGATCTCGGGCGTTCTGCTGGCCACAGATTGGGGAAAAAGTGTATCCCATCTCCCAACAAAAAGGAAGGAAAAGTGAACGGATAATTTCACCCACGAAGGCGGCCACACCGACTTCTGTCGAGGCATTGAGTATTAGCTCGGCAATGGCTGAGATATAAAATTCACTATCCTTAAAGTCCTCCAGGGCAATTTGAACCACTGCCGCAATGCACAGTATTTGCTTATGCAAACCATTGCGAAATAGTGGGTTGCTCCACGCTGCGCTATATTGAGAAGAAGGCAGGGGTTTGTTGCAGTGTAATGGGGCTTCACAGCCATAGTGGACTGCTATATCTCTCCTAATAGGTCCCTTGCCGATTACAAGGCGTACAAAGACGAGGTGGCTAATTGTGTGCGCGAATGTCAACCTCGCCTGTTGATCGTTCTAGGAGATTTTAGCGTTGTCCGCGCGTAGTCCCTGCCTAGTACCCCGGATCGAAATGGTAGCGGGTGCTACGCATATACTGCTGCCCAATTTTGGGGGACCTGTGAATGAAGTACGTAGTATTCGTCGATATACTGGCGGAGATGGATGCGAGGGTGGACGTCCAAATATCCATGCCCTCAGCCAGAGCAGTGGTAGTCTTCTGGTTGAAGAGGCGCTCGAATAATATAAATAGCAGGAACGACGAAACGTTCTGGCGATATGGCACACACGGTTTGAGGAGTGCTATATAACCAAAACGGATGGAACCTCTCGCTGCCAGCAGTCATGTCGGTGATACTGAGCGAGGATTCGGCATGCAGGGCCGTAACAACTTTCTGGGTATCGGTTATGATTCAGAAGGAGGCTGCAGAGCAGGATTGGGAGAGGGCGGATCATGCTCGGAGACGACGTCGCCAAGGCATTCGTTACGGTCCTTTTCCTTTAAACAGTGTTCTCCTAGCAGAAACGGGGTCTCTGGGGTTGAAAACGATCGGGGCGGTGGCCCCGAATGCCTAGAGATGTAACCCCCGAAGAGGATGATGTCTCGGAAGTGGTCCCTAGTTATCGTGATAGCACTGTGAAGGTGCTAGGAACATAAAAATGACCGTGGGACGTGATTCTAATAAAGCAAAGCGAGAGAGGGTACCCGGTTGCGTTCCGAACGGAGATCCCGGGAGCCCTCTATACGCTGATGGTGACCACTGGGAGGTTTGGGCTGGTTTCGTTTCCCCCGCAGCGAAAGGTATCCATGAGGATTTCCCAACGATAAAAAAGGTAGCCATCATATGAAAAAGTACTGATGAATCAAGCAACTTTTCCTGTGAATCGTTTCAAATTTTGGAACTGAGTTGTACCGTAAAAACCTTTATTACACTCTGAGTTGGCAATCCAAAGAAAAAATCCAAATCCAAAAAAAAAACCTTTGAAACTGAAATACAGCAGTGGGTACATTATTGCTAAACGTTGAATAAGCGTAATCAAACGAGATTGACTCTTTATCAAAGACAGATTATCTTGTAAACTTACGCAAAAGTATAATAAGTCTATGCGTTAACTAAGTTAATTTATCTTAAGTCATGAAATGAGTCACTAAAAATGACAGTTTTATATCTTTTATTTTCAGGGAGCAAACCTTTTATTGCAAAATGGATTAATATTACAAAAAAGATGCATAAATGATGGTGACGACTTGAAAATGTTTGTAAGTAGTCTTAAACTATAGTGGTGGTATAAAAAAATTATTAACAAGTTATTACCCGGACAGTGGCAGTGTAGGATCCACTACCCCATATCATTCCGTGGGTGTCGTAAGAGGCGATAGAGAGAAACCAATCAGAAGATGAGCAGTAGTATTTTTCTCATATCAAGTAAAAATAAAGAAACTGCGATTGCCAACCCGATTACCAAGCGTGACATTCAGTGCAAATATCCCTCTTACGAGGAAATATTTGGAAAAGGTCTGTGTTCAGCAGTGGACTTTAATAGGCTTTAACAATATAAACAAGTTCTATATTTATGGATCAAAACTGACTCATATTCACAATACACTCGTGTATTAGCATAGGGCCAGAAAATAAAATCACAAAATCAACACCTGATAGGTGGCGCTGTTTGATTCCATCAAAATTTAGCCGGTGCTACAGTGCCTTCAAATGTGTGACTGTCGATATATCAAAGAGCTGAAGTATTTGTACAGTAGGGCTACGATTGCTGTCCGAGTACAGGACCAGAGTAAGAAACCGATACAGCTGCAAAAAGGTGTAAGACAGGGTTATATCCCCGAATATCCCTGAAACTAATAAATTAAGACGTTACATTCCCGAAATTCTTCACCACTGCATTAGAAGTCGTTTTCAAGCTACTGGACTGTAAAGGATACGGTATTAACATAAATAACTCATTTTTGATTTACCGACGATATAGTCCTTAACGCAGAATCACCGGAGAAACTAAGCACTACGCTCAATGACCTCAATTTTGCCTTCCAACAGATTGGTCTTAAGATAAACATGGACAAAATAAAGTTCATGTGAAACGTCCATACAACATACCTATGCCGGTAGTTGTTGGGAGCATTAAGCTCGAAGTTGTTTATAAGTATGTTTACGTGGGACAAATAGTTCGACTAGCTAAGTCAAACTTCGAACGAGTGGTCAATCGACGGATTTAACTCGACTGGGCAGTGTTCAGGAAATAACGACACATCTTCTCGTCAGGAATGACTCAAAACTTGAAAAAAAGACTGTAAAACAAGTTGTGCGTGTTGCCAGTAATGGGAAAACAGCTTCTCGAGTGTCAGACTCGTACCAGTAGGTGAAGTGTAAGGCGACTCTCCACCAGATGGAGTGACGACCTAGTAAGGACGATCTAGTAGACGACACGCAAGTCGATGGAGACAGGTGACTAAGGACCGTGCTTTGTGGCATTTCTTGGTGGAGGCGGTATTAACAACAATCACTCATTTTTGATTTACGGACGATATAGTCCTTATGGCAAAATGTTCAGCAGTGGACTTGTGAAGGGCTGTAATGACGAAATAATGATGAGTTGGCGCTATAGTTGAGGTATTAATAACTAGTCTCTGTGTTTTATATTTATTATCGCGTAGTGGCAGTTAAGAATATCCACTACCCCATATCTTCCCATGGGTGTCGTAAAAGGCGACAGAGGGAAACAGGCAGGAGATGAGCAGCAGCATCTTCCTGATAACAGCAACTGTACAACAAAAAAAAAACTGCGGTTGCCAACCTACTCGCCAAGCGTGGCAACTATGTCAATATACTCCCCATGAAGAATTACACAAATAGACGGCCCCCAGTTCCCGGCGATATTTACTCTGTAAAAATTCTAGTGTGAATTCGTAGTGAAACTTATCGCGCCACCTACTGAAAATGGCAGAACAACTTCCGCTGTCCCAAATGAACCTTAGTATTTTATCAATCCTTATAGCAAAATATACGTTGCAATAGTGCTGTGGTAGAGCCACGCTCTCACAAAATATCAGCCTAAAATAGCAGCTTGGTGCTGCTGTATTTTATATGGTGAATGTAGAGAACCAGAAACCCTTTTAACTGAATTTAGAAAGACATTTGATTTTAATCCTCAGGGGTGGCAACCTGATTTTTTTTTTCAAATCTAAATTTTGTTTCCTAATTGAGGATAAATTTAGATGTCTATGGGCCACAACATTCACTTACCATCAGGTGGACTGTGTGCTCGTTTCTTACCCTTAATTTAATAAAGCTGCTAGTGGATCTCAATATATAATATGGATCAGAACAAAAAGTTTACTGAGTTAAACAGACTATTTGGCTATTAAATTACCTTTGTGATACCTTGTATCAATGAGGAGTTTAGTAAACATCACACTCACCAATATATATCATAGAATATATTTTAATTCTTCTATAAAATATCTCTTCATTTAGTTGGCGATATTAACTCGCTACATGTAGCTATGGCCTCATAAATTATATATTGTCTATAGATGCAAGGATCGGGGCTGCTCTGGACTTGTGATGAGTTTTAATAATGACGCTGAATAATTACTTATAAGATAAAAATTGCAATGTTTTTTTAACGTAATGGGTATTCAAACACAACGTCAAGCTATTTTCTTATGTATTAATATTTAAAAATATTAAACGATTATTATTTTAATAAAGTATTAAGTATTTTTCATATAAAAGTATGAAGGGGTATATTAAAAATTGTTAAATCATGTTTTATTTATAATTACAGTTAACTACTGGAATTTATTACTACTTCTTCGCAAAATTAACAGAACTGCTTGATACGATCTTCTTTGTCCTTCGGAAAAAGGATAACCAAGTTACATTTCTCCATGTCTACCATCACTCCGCAACATTGCTTTGTAGTTGGTTCGCCTTGAAGTACGAACCTTCATACAGCACAGTGTTTCTTGGTACAATCAACTCTTTTGTACACATAGTTATGTATACATACTACGGATTGTCCGCTTTTCCTGATCTATCGAAGTATTTGTGGTGGAAGAAATATATCACTTCAATGCAGCTGGTAAGATTATTTTAATCAATTCATTTTTAATATGAAAGGTGTCTGAATATTTTTAACCGAATACCTTCATCATATTACATATGTTCTTGTGCAATTTATGTTTTTAATCTGCCCCTACGATACAAGAGATAATCTTAGTGTAGGGGTAACGTTTTTAAAAAAAATATAAAAAAATAAATAAAAAATAATATTCTGTGCAAAAAGATTTATTTACTTTTTATTTAATTTTGCATAAACAAATCAGAAATCTTTAAAAGCCTCTCCATGTCATATATCAAGATAATAAGCTGAGATTTCCTGGCGCAGGCCGTACACTATACTATCAAGATTACTATTGATGATTTGAGGTGTGCGAAAGGCTGGAAATATATCCAATTTTACGGATGGCAATTCACAATGCTGTGTTGGTCCCTATTTTAACGTATGGTAGTGAAAGTTGGGTGTGGCAGAAGAAGCACGAGAGTAGAATAAATGCAGTAGAAATGCGGTCGTTAAGGAGTATGTTAGGCTGAATCTGAATGACAGGGTGAGAAATTGTGTATTAAGGGAAGAGTGTGGTTTGCAAGATGATGTTGTAACCAGGATTAAGAAAATAATGCTTCGGTGGTTTGGTCATGTGGAAAGAATGAATGAAGAAAGAGTGACAAAGAAAATTTATGTTGCAGAAGTGAATGGCAGAGTCGGAAAGGGACGCCCTAGGCAAAAATTTATCGATCAAATTAGCGATTTATTAAAAACGGGCCAAATTAGGAGTACCCTAAACCGACGAGCATGTATGCGTAGGTATATGGATGTGAAGGAGACGAGAGAGGTGTGTCAGGATCGTGCCAAATGGAAGTCTGTAGTCTCTGCCTACCCCTCTGGGTGACAGGCGTGAGTGTTTATATTTATGCGATATAATGTCATTACCAGAGCCAGAGTTTTCGCGTTCATCTAACTGCCTGCCGAGCATTTGTATTTATAGGCATAAAACCAACAGAGAACCTTAAAGTTTTGAATTCGGTGTTCATGGTGCTGATAATATTCACCACCATGTGCAAAAGGGAAGTTGTAAGAAGTTTTATCTTGATTTTTCAGAAACCGATTTAATGATTTGGAAGAAATTTTGTATGTACACAATTATTTACTTAGAAAGTAAATTGACAGGTTTAATCCCTGATAATTTTATTTTCAAATGGGTATTTGAGCTCTACCCATAACTTATAAGCAATTTAAATTAAAATATTGGTCGCAGGTATTTGTAACAGTATGAAATTATTACAAAGATGTATCAAAAATTCTGTTATTCTGCCTCACAATCGTAGAGAGAATGAGGGCAACAGGAATTGCCTCGCAGAATATCAAAGAAGAGACAAAGGTTGCTTTTAGAAACATCTGATCAAGTGGGCCTTGAACTGAAAAGTGACTCTTGCGCTGGTATTAATGCACGCCATCGCCAGTCCGTGTGATTTAAATATTTCTGTTTCAACACAATCTCTGGGTCGCATCATTCATTAGTCTTCATCATACGTAACATGCAAGTGAGGTCAATAATTATTGACTTTTTTATAGTTAGGATGATGAATGAGGAAACAGATCACATGACTGTAAGTGGATAGTGAGGTCCATAGACGACTTCTTATCTTATTCGATTATAACGTGGTAGATCATTGACGCTGTAGCTATATACGGTTACAGCACGAATGGGTTGGCTGAACCGGGAAAGACTACGATCTTACAGAATACCAGCCAGTGGAATAGCAGCTTAGTTCTGCTGTGTTTCTTACCAATACCAATGCATATTAGTGCTGTTCGGATGTCTTACTTTTATATCTTAAGTGTGCTACGGGCTTCCATTTGGCAAGATCCTGACATACCTCTTTCGCCTCCTTTACATACATATATCTACGCATATATGCTCGTCGGTTAAGAATACTTCTAACGTGGCCCATTTTCAATATATCGCTAATTTGGTCGACAAACTGTCTTCTAGGGCGTCCCTTCCCGACTCTGCCGTTCACATCTGCCATATAAATTTGTTTTGTCACTCTTTCCTCATTCATTCTTTCTACATGACCAAACCACCTTTTTTACGATATTTTCAACAACAACCATCATGTACCGATAGTGGCAGTACAGGACTTTGGTACTCTTAGTAAAATTCAAAGATCCTTAGCAACCCGGGGTCAAGGCCAAGAATACAAATGAGTCTTAAGACTAAATATTAAAACAGTATTCTATATGGATTTAGATTTAATAAAAGTATTTATTTGGTTCGAATATCATGTGAAAAGCTCAAACCAATACAGAAGTATTTATAGGTCTTAGGAGATAAGGTTCAAACATTGCTGATAACTCTTCTTCTTATATAAAAGACCTATGAATTCCTATATATAACCTATATAAACCTATATAATACATTCATTTAATTTCTTATTTCAGGTACAATTTTTATTAATGGTGATCCAAGTTACAGTAAACTATAAAGCTTCATCGTGTCGTCCTTCATATGTGTTACTATTTATGATAAATTTCAACGTTTTGTTATTCCTGTATTTATTCTCAGATTTCTATATTAAATCTTACATTAAAAATAATCAAAAACGTATCGAAAATGAAAAACAACGACGCAATGGTTCAAAACATATGAATGGCAGAAATGGAAAAATATTTAAAAAGAGTACTATAAATTAGATTTACACTTACTATTATTCTTATAGTCACGTCACAAACATTATAGTATTATGTAATATATTCCATGTGTATAAATAAAATCTTCAAACAAAAACTTTTTTGAATTACGAAACAAAAACGTTTCGTAATAATCAGTTTCATAATATGTTATTTTTATAAACTGAACTAAGAAGGGAACTAATAAACAAATAATGTGGATCATTATATTTGTTTGTATTTATTCGTAACCTAAATAAAGTTAAAAGTGTTTTAAATTCAAATTACTTTTATAATTAGTAGTCTAGTTATTTTCATTTATTCATTGATTATAATCTATTAAAATTACATTACTGACCGTAGGCCACTATTTGCCTTGTTTACCACTTTTGGCACACGTATGTGGTTTTTATTATTTTCAGATGTTAGCGGGAAGATTTAATTATTTATTTATTATTTATTGCATAAAAGACATTGTACAAAAGGCGAGCTGAGTGCTATATGGTATCCTCATTATATTCATATTGTTGCATGAATAAGTCAACTAGCGCCATCTAGTGTCAGGAACGAGAGCGAGGGGAGCATTGAGAAAATGACATCACAAATCGCTCAACTGACAGCGCCTAGTCGAAACTCGAACGCTCGATACCTTCCGCGTGTTTACTTGAACATTCTGGATATTTCTTTGCTAATTTAAATATATAGGCGCTGCAAGATGCGATGGAGGCAGTGTTGATTTGGGCGAAACAAGCGAAGCTTCGGAGTGGAATTAAGTGAATTAGTGTGTTTAAATTATTAGTGTTTTAACTTTAATTGTGTAAAGTAAATTAAAGTGTTAATTTAGGTAATTTTATCGGCAATTTTTATTGTCACGAACCTCAAGCTCGTAACAATTGGTGTCAGAAGTGGGATAAAATCATGCCGATTTTACCTAAGGAGGAAACGGAGGGTGTCCGTACCCGAAGTCAACGCCAGCAGGAGACGGACCAAAGAAGATTTGGTGGTGCAACGCCGCAGACGTCGGAGGGCCAGCCACCGGCTGAAGGCCCGTCGGTAGCTCCTACATCTGCAGCACCTGACTTAGGTGCTCTGATGGTGATGCTGCAGGAGCAGGCTCGCCGACAGGAGGAACAGGTCCGTCAGTTGAAAGAGCAGCTGCAGAGCGGACAGGAGGGACAGGCCCGCCGATTGGAAGAGCAGCTGCGGGGCGGACAGGAGGAACAGGCCCGCCGACAGGAGGAACAGGCCCGTCGTTTAGAAGAGCAACTCCAACGCGATAAGGAAGAGCAGATGCTCCTCATGAAGGACCTTCACGCTATCTTCGGAAAAGAGATACGGGAGGTGAAGGATAAGGTTGCTCAACATGACAACCGCCTGTCGGAGGCCGAAACCCGAATCGACCAAGTAAACAATCGGGTTGACAACGTAATGGCTGACATGAAGAAATCACTAGATGAACTCAAACTTGGAGATGGAGCTACAGCTCCCGTAGTAGCTACAACACCTTCGCTACGTGGGTTCAAGGTGCCACCGTTCGACGGTACCTCTTCCTGGTCGGCCTACAAAATCCAGTTCGAGGCCGTCATGGAGGCGAACGGCTGGAATAAAAGCCAAGCCATGACTGCACTCACCCTAGGCCTGCGCGACCAAGCCTTAACTGTGTTGGAAGCTCTCGGTAAGAAAGTGACCTATGAGCAGCTTCTTGAGGCCTTGGAAGCGAGATATGGCGACGCTCATCTGGAACACGTCTTTCGCGCGCAGCTTAAAGATCGCGTGCAGCGCAGCAACGAAAACCTGCAGCAGTGGGCCCTTGAGGTGGAGAAGATGGTTCGAAAAGCATACCAGTCTGTACCTGCGCTCATTGAAGGGAACCTGGTTCAGACATTCATCGACGGCATCCGCGACCTTGAAGTCAGAGCTGCTGTGAGACTCGGGCACCACGACACGCTTAAGAACGCCTTGGCCCATGCACTGGAGGTGGAAGCCGTGCGGCAGGATCATCGTTCCCATCGCATCAGGGAGGTTGCAGCAGCTACAGTTCGCGACCGCAACAGAGGATACAGCCCTAGGTGCTATGGCTGTGGGGAAAAGGGCCATCTTCGATCCAGCTGCCCTAAGCGAACCCTAGAAAGGGAAGGTGAACGATCTCAGGAGGGTAGTGCGGCCAACAGCACCGCCCAGCAGCAGCAGGGAAACGAGTAAAAGCCAGAACTGCGGGGCGGGTGCTGGCTGATGTTAAAAGAGCCCCAAGGATCTCGATCTCACAAACCCATGATGGGAACAGTCTAATCATCAAGGGCGAGGTCAACGGAATGCCGTGTAAACTGACCATAGACACTGGAGCCTCTCGTACGGTTGTTAGTTCCCAACTTATAAGCCAGTTCCTTGGGGACTCCGCATACAACCGAGAACGCATTAATTTGGTAACAGCCACCGGTCAGTGTATACCCGTCCGTGGAGAGAAGGAGATGGAGTTGAAGCTAGGCAACGTGATCTACCTGCATAATTTCATCGTGGCTGATATAATGGACGACTGCATCCTAGGCCTAGACTTTATGAGGAATAATTGTTGTGAGATCGACGTTAAGCAAGGTGTTTTGAAATGTGGACAGGAGGAACTTTTTATGGAAGGTGCGTAACCAGGGAACGTGTACAGCATCAAGAAGATTGTTCTTCCGCCGAGATCGGAAACGATTGTTCCGGTTAGTCTTCCACGAAACGCTGGGCAAGCTTGTGTTGTGTACTTGTGGAAAGGGTAAACAATGACCTTCCATGGAAAGTAGCTCGAACCTTGGTCAGGACCACTGACATCTCAGGAGTACGTGTGCTGAACCTTTGCGACCGGGAACAGGTTATAGAAAAAGGTACACTGGTTGGTACTTGTGAGGAAGTGGATTGGTTACGTCAGTGCCAATATATATCGAGTGGGACCCCCAGCAAGGATTCAGAAACGAGAGTGACCACACTTTTGGAAGACTGTCGCAGTGTTCTGTCGCCGAACGAATTGGTGAAGGCGAAGAAGTTGTTACTCGAGTACGCCGATGTATTCTCATCAAACGATGCTGACATAGGAAAGACTGGTTTAGTTCAACACAAAATAAACACAGGTGAAGAGTTGCCTATCCGTCAGCGGCCAAGACGATTGCCGGTAGCACGTGAAAAGGAAGTGGAAACCATGATTGAGGGAATGGTGAGGGATGGTGTTATTGAACCTTCATCTAGTCCATGGTGTTCACCCGTGGTACTGGTAAAGAAGAAGGATGGCAGCATGCGGTTCTGTGTTGATTACCGCCGTCTGAATGACGTTACAAAGAAGGACAGCTATCCCTTGCCAAGAATTGATGACACGCTGGACATGCTTACAGGAGTAAAATGGTTTAGCACGCTGGATCTAAAAAGTGGCTACTGGCAAGTTGAAATTGACCCTAAGGACAAGGAGAAAACTGCGTTCTCGACGGGAAAGGGTCTGTGGCAATTCAAAGTAATGCCGTTTGGGTTGTGCAATGCTCCAGCAACGTTTGAAAGGCTGATGGAACTTGTACTTACCGGGCTAATTGGCGATGCCTGTCTGGTCTACTTGGATGACATCATCATCGTGGGCCGTACGTTTGAGGAACACCTTCAAAACCTGGAACGCGTGCTCATGAAGGTTCAGAGTGCCAACCTCAAGTTGAGTCCGAAGAAATGTTCACTATTCAAACGGCAAGTCAACTTTTTGGGGTATGTAGTGTCGAAAGAAGGTATCCGCACGGATCCGGAGAAAATCACAGCTGTCAAGGATTGGCCGGTTCCAAAAGACAAGACGCAGGTTAGAGCATTTTTGGGTTTGTGCTCCTATTACCGACGTTTTGTGAAGAACTTTGCAGATATAGCCAAACCTCTGCATAAGCTAACCGAGGAGAAGCGACATTTCTGCTGGGATGAAAGTTGTAACATCGCATTCCAGGAGCTCAAGGACCGTCTGTGCAAAACACCTATTTTGGGATACCCTGATGCAAGCAAAGAATTTATAGTTGACACAGACGCAAGTGATATAGGACTTGGCGGTGTGTTGTCTCAACGTAATGGTGACCAAGAGGTCGTGATAGCGTACTTCAGCAAGTCGTTGTCAAAACCGGAAAGGAACTACTGTGTCACAAGACGCGAATTGCTAGCTGTGGTAAAGTCGTTGCAACATTTTAGCAAATATCTTCTGGGACGAAAATTTCACTTACGAACTGACCATGCTGCACTAAAATGGCTATTGCAGTTTAAAAACCCAGAAGGACAAGTTGCGAGGTGGATTGAACTACTGCAGGAATACGACTTTGAGATCGAACATCGCAGCGGGAAATCTCATGGCAACGCAGATGCATTGTCAAGAAGACCTTGTCCTGAAGATTGCAAACATTGTACTAGGCAAGAGAGTAAGGAAGTGGTATCCGTGAGGATGCTCAGGGCAGACCACCTCAGCAACGAGTGGAAGGACAGCTTACTACATGCACAGCAGGAAGATCCGGACATCAAGCCGATTCTGGAATGGATAAAGGCCAGTGCTCCCAAGCCCAAGTGGAGTGACGTCTCAGCGATGAGTTCGACCACTAAAAGCTATTGGGCCCAGTGGGACAGCTTGCTGCTTCAGGATGGAGTTCTGTGTCGTAAATGGGAAAACGTTCGGGGAGACAGCTGTCATTTGCAAATGGTTGTCCCTAAAGTTAAAGTACCGGATGTTCTACAGCTGTACCATAATGATTGTTCAGGAGGCCATCTGGGAGTTAAACGAACTCTACTGAAGATCCGAGAACGGTTTTACTGGGTCCACTGTCGAAACGATGTCGAGGACTGGTGTCGCAAATGTACAAGTTGTGCGGCTGTAAAGGGACCTCAGACTCGTAGTAGAGGTGCATTGAAGTTGTACAATGTTGGTGCACCATGGGAGAGAATAGCCATTGACGTGGCGGGGCCGTTTCCGGAGAGTGAAAGCGGTAACAAGTATTTCATGGTTGTGATGGATTACTTCACTAAGTGGCCAGAAGTCTTCGCCA